TTCACAATAACATATGTAAGTAAATAAGTTTTATTTTGATTTGAAATAAATTATAAGTTTGTAACTAATATAACTTATCACTAATCATTGTAACTTGTAAGTTTGTAACTAATATTACTTATTATTAATCATTTAAATTATAAATTCATTGTAACTACTAACTAATATTATTTATTATTAATCATTGTAAATTATAAATTCATAAATTATCACTAATCATTGTACAATCTAAGATTTATTCTAGTTTAAATTAATTAACTTTTATGTATTTCTTAAATCACAGACTAAGGATTCTAGGTATAAATAATTAAATAAATACCAATTAAATCACAAAATGATTAGAACATAAGTAATGTGTTAAAATGCTAGTCTCCTTGAAAATGCTAGTCACCTTAAATCATACATCTTGATAGGCATTCCTTGAAATGCTACTCGGTTGGATTGTAAGTTTGTAACCAGGAAGTCTTTGACTTTAGTAAGTAAGAATAATAAATTGAGGTGTAGTAATGGTGGGACGTGAGAAAAGAGAAGGGAAGTTATTTGTTTGTGGATGGGAAAGCATGTGGTTTATGCGAAAATTCTACAAAATGGTGTAGTGGGTTGTACCAATCCGTTGGTAAGGGGTACGGATCACATAAATGTAAGACACGATTACAATTACTGAAGTCAAAGCGGTTTAGATCAGACATATGGATGGTATATTTTACCAGGAGACATGAGACTTAATTTAGATTGAGAGTAACGAGGTGCTGTTGTAACAGGGTTGTGGGACCCAGATTGAATGGACATAAAGATGATTGAGAGAACTGAAAGTGCAGAGCTTTTGTAGCAGTATGAAATATCTATCTATGCCTCGAAACACACACAGTCACACGCACACTCTCTCTCTCTCTCTCTTCTCTATATATATATCTCTCTCCTGCATTCTGAAAAAATTCTGAAAAGAAAACTGGCTAGGGCAGGCTTGTGCCTAGCCACGTTTTCCACTGCAACACAGTAGCGTGAATAATTGCACCTTTATTCAAACCATGAAATTACTTGCTTGCTCGATGCGTGGATGGATGAGAGGTTATGGCAAATCAACAAGACGTAACATGGAGGGCTGTGTGACAATCCTGAGCCAGTTATTGCCACTTGCAGCAGGTGGGTACGTTCCTGATTCACCTCCCAATTATATAATATATAGATAAATGCTATTTAGTATTAGTATATACTACTAATATATTATTATATTATATAGATAAATGCTATTAATAATAATTAGTAGTATATGGTATCATATCATGTACTTATAATAATAATAATATATAATAATATACAATATATTATTTTAGTATTTGTATATAGTAATACATAACAATATAAGATAACTATAATACTTATTATTTTATACAAGAGTAACATGACTAGAATTAGATAATAATTAATACATATATGCATAATACTAAATATTAAACAATAAATATAATTAGTAATTAGAATTTAGATATTGGTAATTTGATACATCATTCATGTTTGAATTGTTGAATATTTGAATGCGTAATCTGTAACTTACAAGTATTAGTGTGCTTTAAATTTACATTACATATTTAACATAAAAATTCATATTATCGATTCACTAATCTTAAGGCTTTAAGTATATATAAGACAACTAAATAGTGTAAGTGAATGCATATGAATTGCAAATTAATGTATTAGTGTATTGATTTTCACAATAACATATGTATTAGGGTCTTGCAGTGTCAAGCCATTGATAGTTATCCTCCCGCCTTTTCTTGCATCTTTTTCCTGGACTGTTGTATCCTTCTTGCTTCTCGAAAGATGATTTCGCATGCTGTTTGATGATTCCAAACGGTAGGTGTTGGTATTGAAGGCACTTAATCACGTCCCATATAATGTAAATATAATATAATGTTGTCGTCTGTGGTTGTGGATTTGGGCCCCACCTCCAGTCAACAACCAATTGCTATACACTTACACGACTATGGCAGCTGGCGTTTCCTACGACGTTTGCTAGCGCAAAAGGTTGCAAAATTCGCAAAAAATTATCCAAAAGCCAGAATTTGACAAGGTATATTCAAAATTTATGTCCGTTGCAAGCTGCAAGGTATGGATGAAAGATGAATCAAAACTACCGAAGAAGAATGATCGAAGTCAATAAGAAGAGTTGGTTCAAATTTGATTCGTTAATTTGATTAAACCAAATTTGAACGGGATTTATTAAATTTAAGCAACGTTTTATATTCGATAATTTTTAAATTTAATAAAAAAATTCATTCAAATTTGGTTTTACAATAAAAAAAAGGGTTAATTTTGAACAAAATTTCAAATAAGTTAAAAATAATCGAACAAGTTTGAATGTTTTATATTGAATAATTTTTTAATCCAATAAAAAATTCGTTCAAACTCAGTTTGGCAATAAAAAGAAAAGGTCAAACAATTTTGAAAATTAGGGTATTCGAATTGATTAAACTCGTTTACATCCCTTTTATTCTTTACAAGTCATTAATTGCACCTGATAGGTGTTGGTACTGGATTTCCTTTAGATTTCATGTTTCCTACCGCGAAAATTCTACAAAATGGTGTAGTGGGTTGTACCAATCCGTTGGTAAGGGGTACGGATCACATAAATGTAAGACACGATTACAATTACTGACGTCAAAGCGGTTTAGATCAGACACATGGATGGTATATTTTACCAGGAGACTTGAGACTTAATTTAGATTGAGAGTAACGAGATGCTGTTGTAACTGGGTTGTGGGACCCAGATTGAATGGACATAAAAATGATTGAGAGAACTGAAAGTGCAGAGCTTTTGTTATGGTGGGCAGAGTTGGGCGAGTCAAAAAGCAACTTGTTAGTGGTTGAAGCAATTAACGAGGAGAATTAAACCAATCATAGGAATTAATACCTGTAAAGGAGTAAACGAATGGTTAATTAATTAGTTGAGATGGAATATTTGGAGGAGAAGTGATACGTTGTTGCATGATTGTTTTTTATATTTGCGGGTAGAACATAAAGAAATGTTTTAAAAATGCATTTGTAATGGTATTAGACCAAATTAATGAGAATGAATTGATGACATAATAACAGCAGTCTGTATAGGTGAAATTTAATTGGGTAAAAAACAAAAAGCCCTCTATGATAAATCTAATATACAGAAAAATTTCACGTATTTTTAAAATATATAACACGACACCCCGTATTTTGAACTAAATTATAAAAGTGACGGAATCCGTTAAATTTAACGAAAATGAATGAAATGACCAAAATGCCCTGATATAATTCAGTAAAAGACGGATCAAACAAATCATTTATTTTATTCTCTAAATAGAGACAAATGAGGGTTAAGGGGTAGAATATGTATATTTGTTAAAAATTATGTATAAAATTTTTTTTTAGTTCCAATAAGTCATTTCCGTTAAATTTAATGGATTCCGTCACCTTTATAATTTAGTTCAAAGTACGAAGTGTCGTGTCGTATATTTTGAAACTATGAGGGAAGGGGGTTTCTGTACATTAGATTTACCACATAGGACTTTTTTATAGTTTACCCAATTTAATTAGACCATATTTGTCACTTTTAAATTTTCAGCATTATCATCGCGCAATCACTTACAAGCAAATCTTATATATACTCACAATGTATATATTATCACAATTCAATTTTATCTATAAATTTTATATCATGCAATCACGTAAGTGAATTTTATATCACTTACGAGCAAATCTATGACATATATGTAAAAGTTAAATTTTAAATTCAAATTTTGTATAATTGTCATTCATCCAACATTGATAGTATACACACTGTCAATGTATGAAAGATTAATCCATCACTTAATTATACTTTTATCATCTGATTAACATGTTGCCTATGTATTGTCAACCAATACCACAACTAACTTTCACCAATAACCAACCACAAACATTATAATTACCAAATTCATTAAAATAATATTAAAAAGCTTTTAAGAGATCAAAGTTTTTTTTGTTTATTAAAATTTTATACCAATTTCTTCCATATAAAAAGTGATTGTTTAAATTGTACATAGATTGAGTGTACCCTTTATCACTAGTAATACTAATGGTATTTGTACTAATGTATACATGCTTGAAATCAAATATTCGTATTGATTAAACTATATAGTGATACAGTTAAGAATATTTTTAATAGGTGTAAATACAAAAATATAACTGCTCATTGTCTATTCTAAAAGTAGGACAATAAACAATCTTCACATTAAAAGTATTCCATATATTTTCATGGATAAAATAATACAAGATGACATGCCCGAACTTACTAATGAATGAATAATTTTCTTTCAAATAACAAAAAAACTTTTTACAATTGGTACTCCCGAACTTGAACATATTTTAGGGGCAAAAGGAGATAAAAATTTATGATTAAGTGACAAAATCACCTCCACTTTATTATAAAATGATATCACAATAATATTAAAACTAAATCATCACTAACAAACCATTATGAAGAAAATAAGTTTAAAAGTTGTAATTTAAATCAATACATGACATACATCCAAATTTTGGAAGAAATACAATTCCTGTTTGTGGCGACCCCACTTCCCCCTGAGGCGAACCAAAGGGTTGGCGGGCCGTCTGTCCATCTCTCGCCAGGACTCACGCAAGCAATCTAACCCAAAACCTTTCGAAGAATAAACTAATCTATTACAAAACAATTTTTCCCGAATAGAATCATATCTAAAGCCACATTAACTTCAGAGATAGCAGTGATAAAAATAACCAGTCGAGGCCCTTAAACGACCTACGAGCTACGTACCGAAGTATAAGTCGTACCCAACCAGATAGATAAATACATAAATCCCTAATACAAGCTTACAAGCCAAGTAATCGAATTAGGATTTACACATTTTCCAACTTCAAGTGGCAACCCAAAAAGGAAAATACATTATCCCAAGTAACACATTACAGCCCACAGAATAAGTATTAGTGTTCAAATACAATCCAAAAAGGAAAACATAAATAGGCATCCATCTTTCAGTTTCCAGAACCTGTTAAGGAAAACAATAAACGTGGGGTGAGCTAAATCTCAGTGGTGCCCCAAAACATGCAATCACATAATTTCAAACAGCGATTAATAACTGAACAAATTTAAACAGTTAGGAAAGCGTATAACAGCACAAGGTAGGATACGTGGGCTCTCAGGAGCCATTTTCCTCGCTTGATCACCATTTATCGTAGTTGACCCTCCGTCAACTCTCACTACTTATAATCCATGTAGAGTGTCTCATTTTGATACCTAACCCGTCACCATTCATACCCCTGTCCCGGGCCCGCTCACCGACTAAGGATGTAGTATACTCGAGATATACCCGTCATGGTAGTTGGATACAGAAGCCGAGAGATTCACCCAACGACGCAACTACATTTAGATTTATGGTAGTTGGATACAGAAGCCGAAGCCGAGGGATTCACCCAACGACGCAACTACATTTAGATTTATGGTAGTTGGATACAGAAGCCGAGAGATTCACCCAACGACGCAACTACATTTATGGATTCAGGAGAAAAATGTTTTGCACAAGTCACCACTCGAACGGCTAGTGCGATAAAGTACACACAGCTCACTTCGATGGATCAGAAACCAATTTTTCAAATTATCACATATCAAGTCAAGAAGGTACTTTAAGCAGGTAAGCATAGAACAGGCAGGGACACTCACCCAAAAGTGAAGTTCAGAGTTCAATCTGGGATTCAAAATTCCACGTCCTCGCTATACCCTAGAAATCCAGAATTTAAAACTATAAGTGTTGTTGTACGGTTCTTGGTTTATAAATACAAAGTTATCTGGTATAGAACTAGTTCATCTACTCCAAATAAATTAACAATTTCCCTAGAGTTAAACTAGTGAAAGTGATGAAATACTTCATAGGATTTCTTTCTTTCTGGAGGTGCAAACCAGAACCAATTTGCTTTGAATAAGATTTCTTGCCAAACAAGTTTTCTGCGTCTTTTATTTAAAATTATTAAAATCAAGTTTGACCTTTAATGTACAAATATAACATTTTCAATTTCTATTCAAGTTATTGGTTTATAAGTATAAAAGATTCTCTAGTTTATAAATGGTTTATTCTCTCGAAATAATTCGACAATCCACTAAGGATTAAGGGTTAGTAAAAGTAGGAAATGTTTTACATGGCTTTCCTTTAAATACTTTTCTTTATAAGAGTGCGGCTAGTATTATTTTATTTAAAGTAAGTTTTCTTGCCGAGTAAGTTTATGCTGGTTTTAGTTAAAGTCACTAAAATCTTGTATTTTTGAAAATGTTCCTCTAAACAACTAGCTAGGGCCTATTTAAAGGAAATGAAATAAATCGAGACTTAGGTCTTAGGAACTAGTGAAATCATTTTCTAAAAGTAATAAAGCTAGTTTAAGCTTAAAGAAGAAATATCGAGTTGACAAGGTTTAGAAAATCCCTACATGTAATTTCTAACTTTAACACACTGTGCTAAGTTTTATCGTACCATACTAGAGCGAGGATATATTTAAATGGCTGGCTTAAAATTTTCTCAAGTTTACCAGACCAAAACGGATTCCTTGCCATTCCGATTCACACACACATGTAATATTTTCAGATTCGTCAATATATCAAACTCACATTTCAAATAGAAGTCTCACTAGGGTTTCATCAATCATTAGCCCTAGGTTTCAGCAGATTCATTTCAGATTAAGACTAAATTAAACGACCAAGGCTTCGTCAATCATTAGCACTTGATTTTTGGCAAATCTCAAATCACATCTCACTTAATTACAATTACGTAAGGTCTTCAAGCAATTCCAGCAATTTAATTTCCTCACTTTAACATTTATATAAAAATCATTCAAATGGTCAAGGGCTTCGTCAATCATTAGCCCTTAGCACCCAACAAGTAATTCTCATAGCAACAAGGCTAACATTTCAAATGTTTAAATTTACTAACAGGTATTTAAAGTCAAGGACCAAATTTTCAACAGCTTCATACTCAAGTAATTGTTCCACAGCCAGGAAATTCCAACCATACTATCACCTTGTCACCCCAAAATTCAAATACATGACCATTTCAAGGTATTATAAAGTGAATTCAACAATAATATAATTTTTCACAGCCCCAAAATCTATAAGGAAATCAATAAGAAATTCTTTATCAGACTTGACTAAGGCTGGAAAATTTTCCAGGTTTGCACTTCATCATTGCGATTCAAACTTTCAAAATATCCACTGTTTTCATAGTTAAACAACTTATATATCTTAAAATACACATTTTTCATGCATTTCGAAACCATTATACTCCAAGAAAATCCAAAAATCAAGTTAAGATTTCCAATCCAAGTCTCTCGGTTACTAATAACATTTCCAGCATTTACATTCCGACATTTTTGGTCCAAATCTTCCAATATGACAAATGTTTCATAGCTAAACACTCTCACAGCTTTTAAACAACATAATTCGGCACTTCCAAACATTAAGCTCCAAGGAAAAATAAAATAAAAATCCAGAATCCAATTAAAATTTCCAAAACAACTGAAGAATCCCTGCTCAAGCCTCTCGGCTATCGACACTTTTCCAGCACTTAGAGGTTTATAAATCCAACTTTTTCTTAGCTAAAACATGGTTTTAGGTTCTCAAATTTGTCGTGCATCAACTTGTCCAACCAATTACCATTTCCAGATCACAATTAAATTCAAACAACAATCATAAACCTCAAAGTTTCCAGGTTCAAACTCACGGTAGTTCACAAAAGTTTTCCAGCAATTGTGTGTTCTTATTACAACTTTTTCCTTGGCTAAAACAGAGTATTAAGGTCTCAAATTCAACATGCCATCACTTAACTAGTTTGTTAACATTTCTAGCTCAGGAATTAAATTCAATTAACAACGAAAATCATCCAAGATTTCCAGAAATCTTCCAACAAGCCACGGATGATCATGCATGTAGCAGATTTCTATCTCATTTTATTTTTCTGGTTTAAACCCATTAATTAACTACATGCAAGGCTCAATTATCTTGTTATTATCTAATTAGTTATGGTTATAAGCTTAAAGCAACAAGATTAAACCAAATGAAGCTACATTATTCAGGACAAACTCTCGGCAGAAATTCTCCATCGAAACAGAATTTCCTAAGCTCCTTAATTCATCAATCAGCTACATAGAATTAACATGCAAGGTCCTAGACATCTTAATCATCAAGTTTTCACTCGGCTAATTACACTTGGGTGCTCAGATTGTCACAGGAAAACAGAAATAGAGCTGCATTTCCAAAATCAGTTCCTCGGCAGAAATGTTTAGCCCAAAACAGAATTTTTCCACAGCTTTGAGTTCATCATCTGATTGCACAAGTTTAACACATGCAAGGCCATAAACAATTTAATCTACCTCTGATCAACACATCTCAGCCCAGAAAATTACCTCAGTTTGGCTCAACACCCTCGGCTAGCTGCAAAAATGTTTCCCTCCTCTCGGCTGTCCAGAAATTGCCGTCCGCAACTCTCTCTCTCTGATTTCCTCTCTTCGATGATACCAAGGCAGGAGATGAAGTGAAATGGTATGGTGTTGTGGAATGTTGGAGTTGCTGAAATGGGAAACAAGTCGCGGATGAAGGGAAATGGGGTGTGAATGGAGACTGAAATGTAATCCGGCAGAATTGGAGATGTTTGTGTTTTAAAGTTGGCCAAGGAAGCTTTGCTCACTCACGGCTGAAAAGCAATTGAAATGAATATATTGTGGTGCCGTGGTTTAAGATGTGAAATGGAGGTAATGGTATTGTGGTGCCGTGGTTTAAGAGAAAGGATTGCATGTGTACGAGTAGGTTGCGTATCGAATTGGATAAAATATAATTGGTTGATAGTGCGGTGATTAGAATTCTTGTCAGAGGGTTCGTTTGGTTTGCATGGAATTGTAAGGGCATTTTAGTCTTTTCACTTTGCTCTCTAACCTCAACTTAATTTCTCAATTCTAACTTAATTCTAAAAAATTATCCCCAAGCGTGATTTAAACGCCTAATATACCCTAATATACCTAAACCATTTTTATCGAATAAATTATCGATTAAACTTGAATATTAAGGTTCCTAGTAATTCTTATATTATTTAGCGATTAACTTAGTTATTAGAATTTCCAATTATTTATTCTCAAGAAATAGAGTTAGTCTAACTCGAAATTTATCGATTTAGTAATATAAAGTCAAATGAAATAATAATTTAACCAAGGGTGTCAGTTTGCACATAAAAATTATTTTTACGCACTTATTGTGAAAACAAAGAAGGATAAAACTATAATTATCGAAATTTTCACGCCTTAAGTATGTTTAGTATATTAGTATCATATTTATCTAAAATTCATTGGTTTTCATCTTAACGCGGAAATTCCTATTAACATTTAACATTATTAACGATTAAAACTAGTTATCGGAAATCAAAGAATTTATTTTAAAGTAATAGAATTAATCCAACTCAAGAAATATTAATTTAGTATAGCAAAACCGAAAAATTCAATATTGGCACAATTATATTATTTATTACATAGAAATTATTTTTACACTTTTATTTCAAAACAATTAATTACAATACTAGAATTCAAAGAAATTAATTATTAGATCAATGAAATAGTTTACCATTGAAATATGAAGTTAATGTAACAAAACTAAGAAATTTAGTAGTCTAGCACAGTTCTTTTATTTTGCACCTAACGTTTATTTCTACGTACTTATTTAAAAACAATTGGACTTAGTGCTAAAATTTATTAAAAATTAAAATGCAAATAAAATATGCACTGATATTTATATGTCTATTTTCAGGGTTCTCACACTGTTTATAATGCTATGCATGTGTGTAGGATTGATCATTAATGCTTGGATCAAAACAAATTTGGTCCCTAGTTTTTCAAATCTTAAGCATATTTAGTAAATTGACGAAAAAATGATGATTAAAGATCAAAGTCAATTTGCCACTACTGAATAGTTTTGACTTTGCATTTTTTATGGCAATGCTTCGAATTTGGATCATCATGGTATCTTAGATTTTAAATAGTGATATTAACGGTTTCAAAGGAAAAGAAATGCAAATTAGATTGAAATTATGTCGAAAATGTGCAAAAGTTCAGGAAACTTATTTCTTTTTTTTTTTGTTTTGTGTATTCATCCCACTTGTTTCTCATAGACTTTTACTCTTGCATAACTGGTCCCAAATGTAACATAAAATATGTATGTATGGTTTTGCATTACGGAGAATTAATTGATAATGAATTCTATTTTTTTGTTACTCGTATTGATATTTAAACGCTCAATTAGATATCCATTCAAACTATAAAGAATATGAACTATAAGTAAATCAGATTTGTTTTATTTTTTCAATTTTAATAGATTATCAGTTGAATTTAAGATGAAATTAATATTTTGTATAATTGTTTGAATCATTCAATAAAATTCTTAAGGTAACCGGGAGGGGGGTAGGGGTGTGGTAAAATATTAAGGTAAACAAATAGCAAAGTAACTATTTTAAAACTTTCCATCAAAACTTTGGATTTAATAGACAAAAAAGTAAATAAATTGTGCCCCCACTAAGAGAGCAATTTAGCTCGAGTTCAAAGTATTTTAAATGTCTCTTGGTTATATTATATGTAGTTGACCTACTATAGTCTTTTTTTTTATGAAATATATTTAGATTGTTTTACTTTTTTGGTTCTATAGATAAATAATTCAAATTAGATAACATAGTGTCGTTAACCACTAGTACTCTATATAGAATAATATAGGCACAACATTATCATATAACCGAAAAAGTATATCTTCATTAAATAAGTTAAGATTGGATAATAATACACATTTGATATACAGAACAAAAATTAGGAGGTTGTAGTATAGGAAAAATTGAAATAGTATTTTATTGCTAAAATGATTTTGACTGTTAGTCAATGTTAAGTTCCATCAATTGTTCTAAATGTGCTTAAAATTATAAACTTTTTGGAGACCAAATTTTTTTATTGAAATATTATCATTTTAATATATAACTCAACATTCACATTCATAACCTGCCTTACCATGTGACGCCATTCTCAGCACACCTCTTTATCATTCTGGTTTGGATAGCCATTTTTCGCTGAAAAATGGTCTTATTTTCCGTGAACACATTCTCCTATTACTTTTTTACCTCACACACATCAAATCGTTACAGTAATTTTTCTAAAAAAATTCATGAAAAATACAATCCAAACACTTATAAAAGTGCTTCGTTTGTGGAAAAAAAACACTTATTTTGTGCTTCATTTTCAAGGTGAAATCAGCCTTGTCAGCTTTTGTCCTTTGGTTTCTTATCACGGTTTCATCTATAGTGGAAAGGAAATTAGGACAACACAGCACTGTGGGCCTGGGCAAAGAAAAGCTACTAAAAGTAGTGACCGGAACCGGATGGAGGAAGTTTCACAAGGTCAATTGTACTTTTAGGAGAAATAACATGTATGCCCCTCAACAACTTATGGGTATTTATATGCATCCAAAAATTATCATTAATTCGGGAGTAGCTCTCCATGCCTACTTGGCGGGAAACAAGTTGCAAAGAGCAGGAAGAGTTGGAAAAATTGGTCAGATGCAATAATCCTTGGGATATGTGAAAATGAAGGCATGTGTACCTCAATCTAAGTTTGTTTGTTTGGATTGCATTTGTCTAGATTTTTTATAGAAAAATTATTGTAGCGATTTGATATATGTGAGGTAAAAAAGTGATTGAGAAATGTGTCCAAAAACAAAAGTGTTATGACGGTTTAAATTTAATTGTTAGTTGACATAAATGAGTAATTATATACATAAATAATTGAAAGAAATCAATTTTATATACATTTTATTTTTTTATGTATACATATTTATTATAAATTTATTAAAGAATTTTGGTTTATAAAGTTATTGTAATTTAGTAGTTACAATATTTAGGGTAGTTATAAGTAGTTATATTTGCAAAATTTGATTAAGCAATTAGAGCAAAAATTAGTTTTTCTTTAAGGATAAAATTGAAAGTTTAAAAAATGACATAAAAAGTTTACACTAACTGCGATTCCTCTAACTCTATATATTGCAGAAACAGTGGCTTTTTTATTAGAATCAAAATTATAGATGAATTATTAGAAACATAATTAACATAGTGCTTCAAGAAACTAGAATCATGACACTATTGACATGGTAGATTTTAATTTAAATTTAGAAATTAGATAAGCAATCTTGTACATAACATGGTGACTTTCAAACCGATATCGAATTTGTAGATAAGTAATCATAAATATAATTAACATAGTACTCCAATAAACTAGAATTGAGATTGTAGATAAAATAATCATAAAGATAAATCACATAATACAAATGTTTCAAAGATTGAACGTTTCAACTATTGAAATAATTAGATGGTTATCAACTTAAATCCTAACTCTGCAACTAATTGTAGTGGACATGACAAACTATAAATCACAAATTTGATTAGTAATATAATGTCAAAATTTGAGACTTTTTTAATGAGTAATGGCTTCAAGATGTTTTTGGCCTGCGTATACTAGTACTGTTTTTGAATGGCACCATGGCTGAGAATTTAAATTGTTGACTAGATATATGGGGAAAAGTTTGCTGTGCTAGATACCCAAATAGAGAAATTGAACAAAAGAAAAAGATCCTTCATTATCTACCACCCTATGACAAAGTAATAACATGACGAGTTTGGTGTGCTGGATAAATTATCTACTTTGACCAACTCTTAAAGTGAAATGCTACCAATTGAAATGAAGAAAATAAATACAAGAAGAGAAAAAGAGATTCCCTGTTATCTGCCACCCCAGGACAAAAATCAAACTGTTGTAATTGTTAACATATTAAAGCCGGGTTAAAAATCATAGCACTAAACCCAATTTATCAATTTCAACTCACAACCAACCTAAAATTTTACAAGGATGGGCACCTATGTTAGATATTGCAAGGAGATAAACAGTATAACTCATCTTGCGAGGAAACAAATACTCCAACGGTTCCATTGAATGCATCATACTTTTCAATTTGAAATGTCCCAAGATGTTTGTCATATTAAGAAAGTTAAAGTACTTTTTAGTCTCTCTTTCCAATATAGTCCATCATTTTAATCATAAGTATGTTACCATTTAAATTCAAATTTTGAATTTATGAGGGTAAAATTGAAAAGAAAAGCACAAATATCACAATCACATAACTATTTTTAAAAAGTTGAATTTTCGAAACATGATAAAATAATTGCAATGGAGGGAGTACTAAGATTGAACCGACTTATCAATTTTAGCTTATAACCAACCTGAGACTTTACAACAAGTGACTGGCATTTTCGTTGATTTGAAAAAAATGTAAAAAGGTCGCCTTTTTCTTTTTTAATTTTTTTTGGGGAAATAATCACCTTTGAGGATAATTCAATCCCTTTCTATTTTTGCCTCGGCTATATTATTAGGACGTTCCAGACAAGAAACATGAGTTGAATGTGTATGGGACGATTATGCATTATGAAGAATGTAACAAGATAGGGGAAAAAAAATTAGGTATGAAATGGACCATTTTTTCAGAGTTTCCTCATTCCTGCTTCAAAATAACCGAAGTATTATTCCTTTTACAACAACTTTTTCATCACAAATCATAGGGAAAAAGGAAATTAGTTGAAGTAAACAGAAAGATTAAAATGCAGAAAAATGAGAAGTCACTTGTTCTTGTTCTTGTAATTAAAAAATTATAATTATTTATAATTATAAAAAAATGACTTGTTCTTGTTCTTAGCAAGATAATCCACGCCAACATTCATCATAGTAACATAAGCCCGGATGGTGACAAGCGAAGCATTAGCAGCTGCATCTTCCTTCACCTCATATTCAATTGTGAATTTGACCGTGCATGAGTTTTCGTCCTTTGCATTCTCAATCACTTCAATCCGAACTTGATAAAATGTGAATCGCATATCAAGAAACCCGCCTTCAATAAGCTCCGCTATTTTCACTCGTTTCTTATGGTCAACGACCTTAAATATTTCTTTGCAATACGTATTACCTAATAAATTTCATGATCAGCTTGTCAATTATAATTCGTACAGGGACAAGTCAACCGTAAGAGATTACATGGGCTAGAAAAAAAATAAGAGAAAAAGAAAAAGATTGTGAATTGCGAGAAAAGTTTTGTGAAAATACATGTATACTTGTTATACCTACGAGAATTTCTTGACCCGAAAATTTAAAAAAAAAAATGTACAATTGAGAAATTTCTACATGTATGTCATATGTGGTAAAGGAAAGTTTTTAATGCAAGTCAGATTATGTGTCATGAATTCGTACCCGCAAGCATAACTTTTTTTTTGGGATAAATTGCACTTAATTTCTTTGTGGATTCACAGATTGCCAGATAACTCCTTAGCATTTCTAAATATCTACATAAGCCCTCTATAGTTTTATTTAAAGTGAAAATTTGATGGAAAAAAGCATCCACAATGCCATTAATTAAAATATCAGTATTACCCTTACTTAAACACTAAATTAGATAACGATCTCATCACCTTACATAAAATCACAAGAGAATTATGTGGCTAAAAAATCATAAGGGGTAAAACGGATATTAACACAAATTATAAGGGATTAAGTGGATATTATGATTCCATTTGCTTTTCACTTTACATAAAATTACGAGGAGGTTATATGAATATTTTAAAACTTTAATGGGGTCATGTGGCAATATGAAAAACTATAAGGGGTCACGTATACATGGATGTGTGTGTTGATAGTGCATAAAACATAAATCCTCGAAGATTAGCAAGAAAAGTAGAGTACATTCTGGATTAATTACCAGGAAGGCTGAGTTTGATTACTGTACCAGCACCCCCATCGCCTTCTAATACCTCCATTTTATGAATTATATCACTGAGTTGATGAAAAGCAAGATGGCCAAGTTCAAGCGCTCCGAAAATCTTCCAAGCTTCATTTGCTGCCACCTTAATTTCAATCTCCTCAGATAGTCTCCCAAACATTTCTCTCTTATCTTTGCGTTTTTATGTGTGTTTTTGGTGGAGAAAACTTGCTATGTAATTGTTAAACTGATGTGCTATACATATAAAAGTAATCACACCTAATTTTGATCAATTCTTTAAGTGTTATGCTAATGACAAGAGAAAAAGAACAAAAAGAGAAAAACGATTCCTTCACCACAAGGCTAGGTCAAATAGCTCATCACATTTTCTTACACTTTCTTCTTTTCTTCTTGGAGGTTGCCGATTAGAGGGTTCGATAAATTGTGAGAATATTACTGTGCGCAACATTGAAGGGGTTTTGAATTTGGAGTATTTGTTTGTAGTGAACATTCATGTGCACATATACAAGGAATTAATGCCAAACAGTTCCTTTATTATTTTTTTTTTTTTGTGAGTCGTATGCTCATTGGCACATTTTGGTGAGCATATTCTTATTCGGCAAAGTTTAACCGTATAAATTAATTCCTAATGAATATTGATCAACTAGCCCACTTAAGATTATAATAAAGAGATTTTGTTTTTTGCCCAAATAAATTTCGGAATCTAGATTGGATAACAGTCTTAGTGTATAATTTTTGTCGATTACTTGAGGTATTCTCGAAGGTTACACCCGAACTTGTTGGATCCTTAAGACCATAAAAAAAAAATGGAAATGCTTAATTTTATTTTTGTTCATTTTTTTTACTGACTAATTTGTATATTTTAATTTCCAAGAATAGGTGGTGTTTTCTATGTAACAATGACATCTAATTGGGCCTTCTTTAGAAATTCTGTTGAAGTGTACAAGTGTGGATAAGAAAACTTACCCTTTTGATTAAGACCCAACATGACTTAAATTAATGACTAAAATCACTTTCATTAGAAAAGAAAAGAGAAAAACAAGAAAGAGGCGAGAAGTTTAACCTTCTTTTCTGTTGACACAAGTATGGTGATGTAATTTGTTTCAATATTAGTCTACTGGGACTGAATCTCGAACTTTCAAATTCACAAGTGTGAACTTTCAATCTTTTCATGCAGCTTGAAGTCAAAAGGCTAAGACGAAAAGCAAAAAAGAAAAAAAAAGAAAAAAAAAGAGAAAAGAATTAATTTGCAAATGTAATCGAGAATGGGCAAATGACCAACTGGAGGAAACTTGCACGAGTTGAGGTTCTTGTAAAGGCTTTCATCTCCTCGAGCTGGAGATTAGAAGTATGCAGTTAATTAATTGTAGTAGAGTGTATCAGAAACAGAGAAGAGCTAAACATATTTTGGCTGTCAAAACAATTATACCAATATAATTAATCTTTCAGTTCATGGGGAAAAAAAAAAAAAGAAGACATCATAATTATGTTACACTATCACGAGCACAAAATCATGCTTTATATCAATGCCACACGCGCATGGTGCACTTATTGCACCAAAGAAAGAAAATGATTAACATCTTCACCCTAAAATCAACAATAGACACATTGCTGGTTCTTTTTTTAAGAATTGACCTCTAAAATTTCACACTGCGTAAAGATCAATTGCTTGTATGGAATCCTCTTCCTTCCCTTTTCTCTATACAATAATGTTCTTGATATCATGGTTACCAAAATTTTTTAAAAAAAAAAGTTCTTGTTTTTATCGTGTCATCTCATGATTTAAAGTGACCTGGCAGTAAAAGTGGTGATCATGTATTAACTTTGCATTGATTCATATTTTTCACATCACTAGAATTTCTTGATGGTGGATTAGAGATTCACATGAAGTGCAGAATAGTATTTTTTTTTTTCTCAAACGGTATTCTTGTTATACATATATGAACTTGATAATACAAGATCTTAGTTACATAAAGGGACATTAGTCCTATTATCCTCCTGTATACTCTCTTTGAGCCACAGGGGGAAACTTTGTTTCCAAATTACCTTGGAAACAAGTTTAGTTGCAAATTGTGCCATTTTATGAGCACTTCTATTTCCATCTCTACACACAAAAGAAAAAGTACAGTCTTGGAACATGTCCCTCAAATGTCTAATATCTTCTATGATCGTGCCAATTGGTGTTTCACCCAAGCCTATCTTGCATATTGTCTCAATGGCGGCTTTGCAATCAGTTTGCATTTCGATTCTTCGCCAGCCAGCTTCTCTAGCCATTAGCAGGCCTTGTCGAAGTGCATCTGCCTCTTCCATTTCCGCACCTGCACTGGTATACTTCTTGATGCCTCTTGCTTGGACAATGTTTCCCTCACAATCTCTCACAATCATTCCTAATCCAGCTCCTGCTGATTTAGTAGGAATCGCAGCATCAGTGTTTATCTTCATTACCCCTGTGTCTAGTGGTCTCCATTGGTGGTTTTGCATTTGGTGACTTGTTCCTGTCCTGTGCTTTTTTTCATTTTCCACCTGCTCCTCTTGAAACTCTAGCCATTCGTTCTTTGCAGTTTCCAGTATGGTCATGTACTCTCCACGTTTCCCTTCAAACTGTCGAGCATTCCTTGCCTTCCAAATTTGCCAGATGATGTTTGCTGTTAAGGTGATGTGGTCTTCACCTCTTTGTCTGCTCCTTGCCTCTAATATTCCTTCCCACCATCTCCAGAAATTTGATCTCCATTGCAATAATCCGTCCCATTGTATTGGGGCTAGCTTCCATATAGGTTCAGCATTATTGCAAAAGAACATCATGTGTTCCACTGTCTCTTCCCCCTCCCCACAGCATTTGCATAATGGCGAGCCTCTTCCTGTTCTTTTGTGTATCAGCGCATTTACAGGAATGCTGTTGTGTAGGCATCTCCATATGAAATGTTTTATCCTTGGCTTCATCTTTAATCCCCACAAGCTTTTCAACACTTTTCCTTTATGCTGTGCGTAGCTGGTTCCTTCCTCTCCATGAATTTCCTTGTTCCTTTCGTTGACCTCTTCCTTTTCTACTGCATATCCTGACTTCACAGTGTAAATTCCTGATTTTGAGTATTTCCAATAGACCGCATCCTTTCTAGGAAACAAACTTAGAGGCATTTGTAATATTTGTGAGGTTTCCTGCTCTGAGAACGTCTCCTCAATCAGCTTCTTATTCCATTCCCTCTCTATCAGCAAGTCTGCCACAGTTTGCAAGTTACAAGCTGGAGGTTTCTGAGTTGCAATTCTCCCATTTGGTGCTGCCATGATCCACTTACCCCTCCATATATTGATAGTAGTCCCATCTCCCACTCTCTTCCACATTCCTTTTTGTAGCACCAGTCCAGAGCTGTATATACTTTTCCACACCCATGATGCATTCTTCGGAGCTGCTCCATCCCAGTCTGTTTGCGCTATTTTATACTTTGCTCCTAGCACTCTGCTCACTAATAAGTCTGGTTGCATCAATATCCTCCAGAGTTGCTTTGCTAACAAAGCACTATTAAAGTATTCTAGATCTCTAAAGCCCAGACCCCCATTTCCCTTCACCTGTGTAATTTTCTCCCAACTTACCCATTGCATCTTCCTATCCTCTTCATTTTGGCCTCTCCAAAATTTTGCCATTTGACCACAGATTTCATTACAAAGTCCTTTAGGCAACCTACAGCATGACATTGTGTAATTTGGTAAAGCCATTACGACTGACTTAAGTAGTACCTCTTTTCCTGCATAGCTGAGTAGGTTGTGCTTCCATCCCTGCATTCTGGATTTTGCTTTATCAACAATGTAGGCGAAAACTTGCTTTTTTGATGCTGTTATCACCAGGGGAAGTCCCAAGTATTTGCCATTGTTTGCCTCCCTGATGTTGTTCATCATTTCACATGTCTGCCTCCTATGCTGTCTGCTACAATTTCTGCTAAAGAAAGCAACAGATTTGTCATAGTTAATGCACTGTCCTGAGGCTAGCTCATATTTTGCAAGTATCCTTTGCATGGCTCTAGCTTCCTGTGGGTGCGCTTTACAACAAAATAAAGAGTCATCAGCGAAGAATAAATGAGATAGCACTGGTCCATTTCTACTCAGTTTGAGGCCTGTAATCTGCCTATCTTCAATTGCCCTTGCCATGAGATTAGACAACCCTTCCGAGCAGAACAAGAAAAGATAGGGGGATAAGGGATCCCCCTGTCTAATACCCCTACTGGGTTTCACATACCCCACCCTTTCCCCATTAATGTTGAAAGAATAGGACACAGAGGACATACAACTCATAATCCATCTTACAAAAATAGGACAGAACCCCCCATTTTTAACATCATTCTGCCCACAAATTTCCATTCCACCCGGTCATAAGCCTTTGCCATGTCAAGCTTTAAGGTCATAAAAGCAGTATTACCCTTTCTTTTGCTTTTTAAAAAATGCATGATTTCATGGGCCAAAATGATGTTGTCAACAATCTGCCTTCCAGGAACGAAGGCAGATTGAGAAGAGCTGATGCACAAAGCGATAACTTTTTTCAGTCTATTGGCCAAAATTTTTGCTAAGATTCTATAAAGTACATTACAGAGGCTGATAGGCCTATAGTTTGCCAGAGCTATAGGGTTCTCAACCTTTGGGATGAGGGTTATGCTAGTCTCATTTATGCTCTTTAACAGGTGGCCATGGCTCAGAAAGCTTTGAATAGCAGACACCACATCTGTTTTAATATCATTCCAGTATCTTTGAAAAAATAAGGGTGTCATACCATCAGGTCCAGGTGCTTTATTTGGGTGCATGGAGAACACGGCTACTCTCACCTCAGCTTCCTCCACAGGTTGTATCAAAGTCTGATTTAGTCTGCTAGTAATTGATACAGGCACCCCTTCCAGCACTTCTTCCATGTCTCGTGGCTGAGATGTGGTGTATAGGTCTTCATAATACCTGCAAATCTCCTGGATAATTTGTTGATTATCTGAACACCATTCTCCATTTCCTTTCTGCAAACTTGTTATCTGATTCCGTTTCCTTCTTGCCTTCACACAAGCATGAAAATAGGCTGTATTCTTGTCCCCTTCCTTTAGCCATTTGCTCCTTGCCTTTTGTGCCCAGAATATTTCCTCAGCCTTATAGGCACTACTCAACTTTAGTTTCAATTCAGCCATTTCCCTA